GCGATGTTAGCTCAGGGATCCCTCTTCATAGCTCTTGGTGTTAAAAGGCTATTGGAGGTATTCCCTGCTCCCCAGAGCAGCCCCAGTTCCCTCACTTTATCTGGGGGCAATGCATCTCAGATTGGCCTTGTGGGCTTGCCATGGGTTCAGCCATCCTGGGTGAGCCAGTGCACGAGCGCCTAACCTGCTCCAGCGCGGCCCCCTTGTCGATATCAGCATGCGGCTGTCCCGCGTCTGCACTGGCATTGTGTCTGGCCATGAGAAGCAGGAACAGCTATTGGGACCAGTATCCTGTGATCCTTAGCGCCACAGCCTGCTGCATTGCTCTGGGCTCACGTTCACAGGGTGCTGGGGGGCAACTTTTCTGCCCATGGTGGGAGGAAGTGGTCTAGGCCGGGGAAATTCGTTTCCTGGCAGGCCCCAAGGTGGTGTGGGGGTGGGCTCTTACATGGATCCTGCTCAGCCTAACAACCAGGGCTGGCAATGGCTGCTTTCTGTGGAGTCCGTGTTTCTTTGGCGTGCCCCTGCAAAAGCTGCTGCCAAGAGACAGTGCCAGGTGTTTCAGAGGCGGCTTTTGGCCTGGAGAAGACGAAGGCGGCGGCTTGCAGTTACAAGCAGAAGCCCTACAACAACAGAATGGGACCATGTGGAGATGGAGGCGTGGATGGAGCTGATGCTGTTTTTCGTCCAGCCCCCGCCCCCATGCGGACCACTGCCTCTGGCCCAGGACCACAAGCCCCGAGTGGTGGGGCTACATGGTGATGGGAACGCAGGAGGGCCAGCAGTGAGCCCAGAACTTTCTCAGGAGGAAAACTGCCATGGCATTTGAGCTGGCCAGGGCCCCTGAGTGGCCAGGTTGGCAGGAGAGAGCTCCTGCAGCTGAGCCCGAGGGCTGGCCAGCCCAGCCTGCAGGCAGATTAGTGAGCTCAGCTGGATTGCAGCAGGGACCTGCTGGGCACAAGGCAGCCAGCAGGCCTGCTTTTAAGCTCAGCAGCAGGTTGCTGGCTGCTCAACCCTTATGCCTACAGCTGCGATCACGCCTGTGCCAGCCTTGCTCCTGCTCTGCTCCAGCCCTGCTTGCGCCCTGCCCCTCAGCTTGACTCCTGGTTCCTGACTCCTGCTCCAACCGCTAGGCCCGGCTGATCCTGGTTGTGACACAGATCACTCAGAGAGAAGAGGCCATGACAGCCCAGAAGTGTGTTGCTATCACTCTGCAGAAGCTGGCAAGCTTGGATTGTTCCAGATCTGTTGACAATCCGTTCAGGGTAGGCAAATCCATGATTGGTGCAGTGGTCATGGAGGTTTGCAAGGGAAGTAGTGCAGGTAGTGCTCGCCCTCTGGGTTGGAAAAATTGGAAATATCCCTGAAATAATTGCGGGGTTTGAATGGCTGGGGTTCCCGAGCTGTGCAGGTGCGATTGATGGGATGCATAGACCCATCCTATGCCTGCCATTTGAAGCAAGGGAGCACCTTTAACAGGAAAGGATACTGCTCCATGGTTATGTGGTCCTCAGTCTTTTCCATACTGGGACCCACCCAGGACCCCCCTCATTCAGCAACATGGGAAGGACAAGATGTTTGTAACTCCCAGACACTTGGTTGTGTCTCCCCTCTCACTGAGACCCCCAGTGTGCCACGACTCCTGGGCTCTGTTTTCACTCTGCTGCCGTTGCCACCAAGCCAGGGGGAAACTTGTTCAAAGTTGGAATTCGGGATCTGTTTTTTTTCTCCTTCCGTCAAGTGTGCGTCCAAAAAGCGGATTTCGATAGGCCACCCCTGGTGTGGAATGGTGTATTGGAATGGATGGATGGGTGGCAGGGGCTGGAACCGGGCACATATTCCCCAGATGGGACTGGTGTATCCAGGCTATGTGCACAGATTAGATATAAAGGGGAGAGGACCAATTCTCCTGTGCTATAATATGAATCTTTGCATTACATAGCACCTTCTACCCAAGGGTGTCAATGGGCTTGACAATAGTAATGAATGAAACTGTTCAGCTACCTCTGTGAGGTGGGCTTATACCCCATTTTACAGATAAGGAAGCTAAGAGCAAGGATGGTCTTGTGGTAAAGGTACTGCCAGTGGCCTGGGATTTCGGAGACCTGCGTTAAATTTCTAGCTCTGCTGCAGACTCCCCATGTAATTGTGGGCACATCGCTTTGTGGCTCTGTACATCTCTGTTCTCTGGCAATAATAATTCCTTTCTCATCCCCATTGTGAGAGCTTAGACTGCAAGCTCTTTGGGGCAGGGACTATCTTTCATTATGTACATGTACAAGGCTTAGCACAGTGAGATCCTGATGTCCGCTGAGGCTTCTAGGCATTGCTGTAATGCAAATACAGAAGTAATAAGGAGACCTAGAGAGGTCAAGTGACTTGCTCATGGTCAAATAGTCTGTGGCAGAGTTGGGAATAGAACCCAGGGGACTCTCACTGTATGTGCACCCAGGCACGTGTCTTAACCACAATTCCATCTTTCATTCTCATTGTCTAATGTGATGCAATAAAACATGTTTTAAATGAAAAAAAAAAAATACTAAATGCAAAGTTGGCTCATCGTTTAGCAGAGAAGAGATTTAATATAATGGAAAGAACTCCCACGCTGAAAGTGTAGCAAGAGTCTTGTCATCTTCTTTCCCCCCTAGCTTTTTTCCATCCTTTAGGTTTCAAAATGGAACATGCTGATTTGACAACAAAATAACATTATTTAGAGGTTTTTGGAGCCTCAGGACTGTGCGTGGATGTGAGATACTGGGACAGGGGCTGCAGGTCTCGCTGGCGTTAATATGCTAACATAGCATGTCCGGAGAGCTGGGTTCAAATCCTGATTTGGTCACAGATGGAAAATAGTGAGCTCTACCTAGAGCATGACCCTAATCACATGAGTGTGTTTGACCCGCCACTGCATTTGTGCACATGGTGCTTAGGAGATTAGGTGGTGGAGCACCCTCTGAGAGCAGGGCAAAGAGCCAGTCACTCGTTGATGTTTGGACAGCAGGTACCGGGGGCGCTGCCAGTCAGGAGTGACGTGAGGCAGGTCAGAATGAACGCGTGTTGACAGAGCTGTGCGTTTGTTTGTGTGGTTCAAGTAGCAGGGCAGAGGAGGGACTCGAGATCATGACTGAGGTGCTTTGGCAGAGCTGCGAAGTCATGGACGCTTACTACTGCTGCATAGAGCCACTGCCCTAACCCACCAGTACCTGTAAGCGTGTCGCCGATTCCTCATTTGAATCATAAGCACCATCTCTTCCCCAAATGCATGAAATCAGGCCATAATGTGATTCTGCCCTCCTGGGAGTGGTGAGCTGAGTATTGGGATTTTGTTGTTTTGAAACTGCAAATGCTGGATGAGAGAAGGTTAGAGGCTCTTGGCCTCCAGCTCCAAGGGTTTGCAACATGCACAAGAGTATAATGACCAGGAAAATTAACACTCAGAATGAGGAGTTCCAGATAGTTGAGGAGTGGGAAGGAGAGAGAGGCACTGTCTTGTGACCGGGCCAGGTACTCCTTAGTTCCTTCCGAGTGGGCTCTGCTCCTTGACACTGTGTGTGACAGGCCTTTTGTTTCCACTTTTGCAAAATGCACATGACAGTCCCTCACTGAAGGCTGAGTTAAGGCTTGAATTTGGAGTGCCTTGAAGATTTAAGGTCTGTCACTCTCTTTGAGTCCATCCTTTCTTCAGATTGCCACCATTTCATTGTATTTACTTGGTTTTTCGGTTATGGATGGCTGCAGATCTTTGCAATGCTTCCAAGCACTGGTTTTGTTAACAGCCTGGGTGACAGGGTCACGGTGAGATAAGATCAGAGGCAGCTTGTGCTCTTTAAAACCTTGAAATGCCACTTGTAACTTTGCAGAGTTCTTACATCACTCATTGGATAAAGGCATTTCCTAGCAGGTTCTGCCCTCCACATGTTAACTGTCTGTTCTCTGCACCACTTGGACTCTTGTCAGCTACAACTCCTTCCACTGTGTCTCCCGATAAACAGAATGCCAGCTCAGTCAACTAGATTTAGCTAGCTGAACTTGAATTAATGCGGGGTGACTTAGCGCTAAGGACCCTGGTTTGGATCGAGATGCCATGTGGAATGGAAATAATGTTTTGTTGTGTTAAACAGTGGTGATTTGAACTGTAACATTTCTTAACCATAAGAAAGGTTGCAAGCAAAGCGTCTGTGCTTTGCTCGTGTTGACTCATAGACAGGCGCAACATATACGCTCTCAAATATGGTACTTGTTTTCAAGGTTTTTTGAGATGCTGCATCTTTAACAAGCCCTTGATAAATGAGAATTTGATGCTCACGGTGACAAACTGTCTCTTCCTTCCTGCCCATATGCAACTTCATGCTTTCAGTTTCCCCAGCATTATTATGGGAGGATATTGATTTTAAATCTGTTCAGGGGACGCTGTAATTGTATATTAGATATTTTGCGTTGGCTCGCAGGGCTGCACTAATGCAAAAGGCTCGAGCGTTTCCGTACAGTCTAGAGGGAGAAGATTGCTAAGGACCTTGAGGTTTTTAGGAGGAGAGAGAGAGAGAGAGAGAGAGAGATACTGTGGTAGGAAGATTCAGAGGGAATTGTTTTTCTTCTTCTCCCACCCCCTTTTTCCTCCCCCCAGTTGCTTTGCATCAGGGCATGAAAGGAGTGGAAACACAAGAGGGACAAAAGGCAGCCGAACAAATGATGAAACTCAGTAAGGAAATAAACTAGATTCAGAATTTACGGCTTAAAATTGTTGCATTGATCACTGTTTGAACAGTCATTACATCCCTTTGGACTGCATGATTAGGAAAGCAGATCTGGGCTTTCAAGATGATGATTTTTTTCTTTCTTTCTTCTCCCCCCCACCCCCACCCATAGCCTGACTCTATGTTTGGGCAGCAAAATGCGAAATAAGTCTCTGGTTGATTCTGTGAAAGGGAAAGAAGTGAAGCGTTATCTGATACTCAGGTCTCTCATTTCTGTGTGTGTCTCTCTCTCTCTCCCTCTTCTAGATGAAATTTTAGGCAGGAGAAGAGTATGTTCTCCCAACAGCAGCAGTGAGTGTCCTTTAGAAAGCAAGAAAACCCGAAGCGAGTCCCCAAAGGGTAAGTGCTGCTTCTCTCTCCCCTCTCCCCGCCCCATTTTCTTTTCTTAAGAACCTAACTTAATTGAAATTAACGAGGGAGGGATGCGAGATGCTGAGTAGGAGCTTTCAGTATCAGTGCTGGGGATGTGCAAGGAAGGCTACCAATGCACAGTGTTCTCTTCAGCTAAGTGGAGGGAAGATCAGTGTGTGTGTGTGTGTGTGTGTGTAATTATCTCCCTTAATTAGACTGATTATTTTACGGTTTAAAAACCAAGCCAGGAACTCCTGAGGTGGGTTAGGTTCAGGGCGGGGGGGGTGGGGTGGTGTCTTTTTCAGCAGAGTGCCTTGGTTTGGATATTTAATACAGGACACGCACTGCGTTATCATGTTGGCATCTGCTTTTTTGTGTGTATCTAATTATGAGTATAGTAAAAGTCCAGCTAGATAGTCCTCCTGCGTTGATGAAGTTATTCCTCTATAGATGGAATCTGTAGAGTTGAGGGGGGGAGGAATGTTTTGTTTTTAATTTTAGGGTTTTTATTTAAATCTCCTGATTTGTTTTTATGCCTCCCTGCCATAAACATGATTTTAAAACTTTGTTTTACGACCGGCAATGTGGAATGGGTAATGGAGCCTGCAGTTAATGAGTTCGTCTTGGGGTTGCGTATATGAGGTTTTGCAGGCTGTTCACTTCGAGGCTTTGTTGTTAAGGTCAGACTAATTAGCTGTCAGTAATGCCCACCTCAATCGTTATTGCTTAACCTGCGCTCTTCTAGCCATTTCCAAAAAAAAAAGCGTCAGGCTGGCTGCCTGCAAGCCAGGTCTTGTTTCATGGGGTTGGAGTCGAGCAGCTGAGCTTCTTAAAAAGGAGTGAGGGGGACTGAATACACCCCCATGTTAACCAGACCAGATGGTCTCCAAGGGTGACTTCAGCGTGCAGCGTTTTACTGTGGAACGTTCACGGCTTCCTAAAATAATACCTCGTATTGCGCCTTCTAGCAGTGCCTGGTACAGCACCTAGGATGACACTCTAATTCTAAGTAATATTCTTTTATGTCATCCCCTCCCTGCCTCCTATCCCAAAATTATGATTAGAAGGGCATTAGTATTCCAAAAGCGATCCTTGTTGGCTGCTAATTGGTGCGAATAGTGCCTGGTACAGTAGCTGCTAACATTACCTAGTAACATACACTCATTCTTAATCATTTTCTTTTATGTACCCCCTTCCTGCCTCTTATCTCCAAATTGTTCCAGTTAGGAATGCATGAATGGTCGAGCAGGAATTCCTGTCAGGTGCTAACAATACCTGCTGTAATGGGTACCCCAGCCAGTACCATCCACTAGGCCTAAATTATTTCCTTTCATTTGTTCACCTGCCCACTTCCTGTCCTCCTCTTGCCCTCCCCTCCCCGAATTACCATCAGAAGTTCCTCTATATTCCAGGAGGAATCCTTTGTGAGTGCTGAAATGCATTTATTACCCAGGAGCTTTCGATTTCCAGTGTCAGGCTATGCAATATCACGCCACAGTTTGCCACAGCTTCCTTAAAGGAGTTAGCACACTCTGCCCACCTTCAGGCTTCTGCTGACTCTCGCTCCTCTACCCTTTCTTATCCATTGCATGCTCTGAAAATGGATCACGGTGGTAGCAATTTAATCTCTCTTGCTGAGAAGCAGCTAAGCTTTAATCAGGCTGTTCAAGACCAGACTATAGTTTCTGGATCTATGACTCTTATCCCTACCCCCCAAAAAGGGTCCCATTCTACACAAATGAGAGTCATTGTCAGCACTACTTGACTTCGTTGGTTGCAGTACCAAGCCATAAACAATCCAGTCCTAGCAGAGATGGGCCAAAGCCGTCCCTCCCCGCCCCCCCACTTCGTAGGTTTGAGTGAAATGAGAGCCAGATCAGAGCCAACCCTTATTTTTGCATATCCACCCGCTGGTCCACTTACCCACCTTTGCTTCTTTCTAAATCCTGCTTTCTCAACCAGAATCATTTAATCGGGGTTTCCCTCTGACTCATTCAGTCAGGGTTTCCCCAGAAGTCCTAAAGGGTGACAGCTCCACTCCACTTTCATTTTCTGCCCCCCACTCTTTCCTTTCCCTGAAAGCCTTCCCTGACTTTTAAGCTAGGCTAACCTGAGACTGACACAGACCTTCTAAACTATATGGATCTCTTTTAAACCTCCGAAGTTCTCCCTCTTCTGATACACACATCTTGAGATTGTTTAGTGGCAGCTCTTCTCCCCCAGGTACTGTACGAGGCCTTTGACACACGGGGATCAGCTCTGCGCTAGCTGTCACTAAATAGTTAGGTTCCTTTGATCAGTGTCAATGGTGTTGTTTTTGTTGTGTGTAGATTAGAGGAACTATAGACTAGGGGAACCTGGAACATCCAAGTTACCAGAATGGATCAGGCCAATGGTCCATCTAGTCTGGTATTTTGTGTTCAGCAATGACTAGTACCAGCTGTTTCACAGAAAGGTTTACAATCCCCATAATAACCAGGCATGGACTGTCCTACCCACAGGGGATGGTTCTTCCCAATCTCTGTCACTTAGGGTACGGTTACACTGGAATAAAAGACCCACAGCACAGCTGCAGCTGTCCCAGGTCAGCTAACTCGGCCGTACGGGGTTCAGGCTTTGGGTTAAAAATTGCTTTGTAGACGTTTGGGCTTGGGTTGGGGCCCGAGCTCTGGACCTCCCCCTTTGTGGGGTCCCAGCCCAAGCCAGAACACCTACCCAACAATTATGCAGGTCAAGCCCCATGAGCCCGTCAGCTGACCTGGGCCAGCCAGGGGTGTTTAATTTCAATATTCGTGGCTTATGCTTTGGGGCATACCAGTTTATGTCCTTTTAGAACTTAACCTATCTACTGCAACGGTGAATGTTCTTATTATCTCTGCAAAGTCTCATTCTTTGAATCCTGCTGAGCTCTGACCTCAAGGATATTGTTATTATTTATAATGTATTTGTATTGTGGTACCGCCTAGGAGCCCTCGTCATGGACCAGGACCCCATTGTGCTCGGTGCTGTACAGACACGGAACACTATCTTGTGGCAGTGAGTTGCTTGGAGAGGCTAGAGAAGGCATTCTCATGCTTCTTTTGAATAATGTGGGCCTCTTATTAATTGGGACATTTTCTTGTGGACGCTTCCTGTCACGTTCACGGTCACATAACGTTCCTAAGGTAGCACCAGCAGTTCTTTATATGGAAAGGCAACTTGCGGGAAGCGTTCAACGAGTTTCTCAGTGTGGATGGGGGCCTTGTAGGGAAGCACATCTTCCACGTGTGTACAGGAAAGAGTGAGAGGAACCATTGCCCAGTGGTTAGGGCACTACCATAGGATTTGGGAGACCTGGGTTCGAATCCCTGCTCCAATCCAGGTACTCAGATACTATTCTGATGGAGGCCAGATAAGTGCCTAAGATAGATATTGAAACACTGGCTCAGCATTTATCTCTGCCTGCCTGCATTGCAAATTCAGCCATAACCAAGACTTTACCGTAATTTGACGGTGGGATTAAAACACGCCGAGGGTGCTGTCTGTGCTGCAGAAGGGAACCACCCTTTAACTGTGTCAGGACAGCCACATCCATACCTCCTTGTTGCAGGATTCCCCTGCGCTTCCCCTGTCAGATGGGATTGGCTCCCCCCAGGGTGGCTGACAAGCTGCTAAGCAACCTTGGCAAACATGTGACTTTCCAGGAGTATTAGAAAGTGGGCACCTACCTGCGTTGGGTTACTGAGACATGGTGACCTAGAACCTGTCTTGGGGTGTTTGGTAGGAGAGGGAGTTTGTGTGGCTGGGACTCGTACATGCATGTGCAGGTGGGAGATGAGTGGAAAGAGCCCACCCATCCCTTAATTAGCTAAAGCAGTGCTGGAAAGGCACCCAGGCAGGGCTTGTGCAAGAGCAATGCAAAGGCACACCCTGTGCAGAGTCGACAGCTCCTGGACTGCCCCAATCTCCCTTTCCAACAGTGGGTGGGACGCTTACTGCTTTCAGCAACAAAACTAGACGGGAGTCGGGTCTGCCAGTTCACAGTTGTGGGCAGTGGCACCAGTGAGGGAGGCAAAACCCTGGCCTGAATTTCCCTGTCCCTCCCCTAATCCCCTCGCAGCGTGGCACCGTGCAGTGCTTCGACCTGCCCCAGGCACGGCTGCCTTAGGAGCCAGGTGAGCTAGAGGAGATCTGTACCTTCCGGTGGTTCAGCCAATCTTCCGGGGTCTTTTGCTCGGGTAAAGTGGCCTTTGGCGGCTGCTCCCCTGCTTTGGGTATGTCTACACTACAGGATTAATCCGAATTTAGATAATTCGAATTTGGGAAACAGGTTGTATAAATTCGATTGTGCGCGGCCACACTAAGCACCTTAATTCGGTTTTAAACCACATTAATTCGGTGGTGTGCGGCCACACTACCCCATTAACTTAAACACAGTAATTCGGTGGTGTGCGTCCACACTAACCCTAATTCGAATTAACAAAATCGATTTAGGCTCTACTCCGTTCGTCGAGGTGGAGTACAGAAATCGATTTAAAGGGCCCTTTAATTCGAATTAACTGGCTCTGTAGTGTGGACGGGTGAAGGGTTAATTCGGATTAAGGCAGCTAAATCCGAATTAAAGTCCTAGTGTGGACCAGGCCTTTGTGTACTCTGCCTCGGCCCTGTCTACAACCCCATGGGAAGGGCCTATCCCATTATATCACATGCCGGCCCTAGATGCAGCTGTCACTCCGGGCACGGCAGCATTGGCTCCAAAACGGCCTTTTGACCAGGAAAAGTGACCCTGCTCCTGCGGCACATCTTGAGACACCGTGGCTGCATCTCACAAAGCAAGGAGAACAGAGGCAGCCGAGGAAATCGCTCCTTTTCTCTGACTGAGTGAAAAAATACCTGTAGGGCTGGAAGCCCTTCCAGCACCGAAGTGGTAACCTTCCCTTCCCCCTCCCCGATGCACACACCAGAGATCAAAAGAGAGCCCTATCTCGGTGGAAACGGGCCACGCCAGCATTGCTGTCAAACAGAGCAGAACGTTCTCGTGTCTAATTTGGAAATGTGAGCGTATCAGAGGCTCAGAGCAAGGTCTGCGCTGGCAGGTCATGGAGGAAGCTTTCTCCCTGGGAGACAATTCCCCAGTAAAATGTTCACTCCCGCAGCAACAGCGTGGTCTGGAGATGTGCTCCTCTGATCCCTGGAGACAGAGAATAAAACTGCGTTATTGCAAAGAGAGCGAGAGAAGAAAAATCAGGGAGAAGGGGTTTTTTGTTTTTTTTTTTCTATTTGAGCTGCTGAAAAATAAATCTGTTAGAAGCCTCCTCAGTTGGGGAGATTTAAAAGTAGGCTGGACTAACTGCTGGAAAATACACGGTAGGAAGCGATCTTGCCTTGGCTGGATGACCTCGTGGCGCTGCCATTCTCTTTTTTCCTTCTGTGAATCACTTAAAACCCAACAACCCTACAAACCAACAGCACTACTTTGGATCTTTAGTTTATACAAAAACAGACCTGGCCCTGGCCGTGGGCCAGAGCTGGACAGTTCAGATCGAGACTCTCCCATAATGTGGGGGTCTCCAGATCCATGTGTTTGGTCCAGACCTCTCTCCACTTAAGAAGCTATTGAAGAACAATAGTCTGGCCCCGCTCCAGCTCCCACTGAAGTTTGTAGCAAACCTCCCTGCTGGGCTGCGATGGGCACAGGAGCAGGCGGTCTGTTGGCTGGGACAAGAAAACCCAGGTGGCCACGATCTTAACACTCAGCTCTGGCTTTGAGTCTTTGGCCATAGCTGAGCTCACAGGGCAAAGGACAGAAGGACAGAACATTGCAAAGCTGCATGCTGCCCTCTCTGTCTGATTAGAGGAACCAGGAAGGGAGCCCGGCTTCGTGGGGGCTGGTAGCTATTCCCAGCTGCCTCTTAGCTAGTGGGTGTTAAAGGAGAGGGTCTATCTGCGGTAAGCCCTATTGGAGGGGAATTATGCGATGCCTTGCTCAGGGGACGAGTCTCAAGCAAAGGGTTCCGTTTTCCCACCTTGAGTTGTGAAACCCCAGTGTGTCACCGTTGGGGGGAGGCCGTCAGCAGTGGGGGGGGGGGGAGTGGCATCGTAGTCTGCGTCACAGAACTGCGGAGAGCCTGCCCGCTCTGAAGGTCTGGTTCCCTTGTAGCTGACGTTCTGGAGGGCACAAAAGGTTGTGATGCTGTCGTTGTGTTGACAGAGTGATGGGGGAGAGAGCCGCACTCACGTGCGCACACCCAGAGCCCTGGTTAGGGGGGCCGGCCAGGAGAGCAGCAGAGAGACAAGCAGATGTCTGTCTAGGCCCTTGCTTCTGAGCCTCGACACTGGAGTCCTTTTCACACCTGGCGGCTGGAGGAGATTTGACAAGATCAGTCTCCCGCATTACCCCCTGGTAATGACAAAAGCAGACAGCAAAGCTGCCGCGAAGCTGGAATTATCACTGGCTGAGTCATGTGAAATCTCCAACTATAAGTGTGGAAATCCAGCTTTTCTCCCTCCCCGCCCTCCCACCTTGCACCTGAAATCTGCTCTGGGGCTGATCGGATAGAGTTTATGGTAATTAAGTGTCATTATCCCCCCCCCCCCCTTTTTCCTAATGACACGGCTGTGAAGAAACCTCAGTGATTTTCCTAAATCAGGGTCTGGGTCTTGTGGTTTTTCTCCTCAGAGCTCCAGTTAAGAGCATCAGAGGGGGGTTGAGACAGTTGATGCCTCTCTGAGCTTGCTGGGGAGGAGTGGTGCCAGGAAGGCAGTAGGCTGTGGGCGGTCTTGTCAGCTAGGAGAGTCGGGGGAGGTGATTTGGAGGGGAATTCCAATCCCTTTGCTCTTTCCTGAAAGCACTGGCCACCTGGTGCACAAGCGGTTGCCTCTAATTATCCACCACTCCTCTTTTGAGTCAATTGGTTGTGTGGCAGATGCACCCCATTGGAGGGGTGGGGTCCAATTCCTAGCACTGCACAGCTCGACTCGGGCTTTGAACCTGTGAATTTCACAGGAAGTCCATGGTCCTTGAGATACAGAAACATGTCACTAGGGTGTCGTTTAGTGGTTGCAGTTTGTAGCCCTGGTTGTAGAGTGCTGTGCTGGGTGAGAAATTGAGTGGAGCTCTGTCATTGACCCTAGCAAAATTGGACAGAAATCATGTGCTCGTCCTCTGGGCTTTATACTCACAAGGGAAAGGAGCCGTGTGAATGAGGGTGGCGTTTGGAGATTGGAAACCCAGGATATTATAAGCTTTTTGGCTTCATTCTCTTTTTGGGGTTTTGGAGGAGGTGGAACTTTTTTTTTTTTTTTTTTTTTTTTTTGATTATCACAGTAACATCCCCAGTTGAGATCAGGGCCCCACTGCGCCAGGAGCTCAATAAACACATGGGGCCGAGCGTCCCTGCCCCAAAGATTTTATGCTCTGAATGGACAGGACAGGTGAAAAGTAGACGGAGAAGGAGAGGTGAAGCAACATGCCTGAACTTGCACAGCAGGGAAATGGCAGAACTGGGATTAGACCCAGGTCGTCTCAGTCCTAGTCCAATGTCCTATCTATTGTACTATGCTGCCTTTCCAATGCTGCTTGCTCCCCTCAGTGATCGTCCTCTCAGGGGATATCCAGACCAAGGGCCCTCTTGGTTGTCCGAGAGGTGTATACATAGCTCTAGTCACGTGACAGAGTGCGAGTCAAAGCACCAGCATCCCCAGGTGACACCAGTGTCAAGTGACTGGAATTTGTCCCTTTGCTGCCATCTTGGATTTGGAGCCAACATGGCGGCACTGCTGGGAAGGCCCGAAGGGCTCAGAGGTGGAGACGGGGAGCGAAGGAGAGAGAACTCTGAGCGTGCACACAATGATTCCATTAATAGATTGCTCTCTAATTCAGTCACCGCACTGGCATTCTAGTGAAGCTACACGATGGGCAGGAGCCCTCCCTCCCCCCCTTCCCTCTGCCCGTTAAAGCTGTTATTGGGAGTTTCTCTGTGAGTAATGAAAAGGTTTTGCCTGTGGGGATGATCCAAGATAAAATAGTGTTGGAGCAGCCCCTGCCAAGGCGCGAGTGTGGTAATTACTCTGAGTTCTGCTTACAGTAAACAAAAGCTGCTCTGGATTTTATCTCCCCTGGTTGCTATAGTAGGGTCCCTATTGCCCGGGGAGCAGGTGGGGCCTTTCTGAAAGGGATTCAGCAAGGCTTGGCGAATGTGGAGGCAGGGATGTATGTGGTAAATCTGTTAGTCACTGAACCTAATTTTGCCTTCACTATCCATGCAATCCCAGTGGATTCAGTGGGGGGAAGCAGAACTTGCCCACCTTACTTGGAGACATTGGTACTGCACCTGTGAGTAATGGGAGGAGGGTTGGCCCCATAAGTTATATCAGGGCTGGGCTGGGGTAGTTTGTATGTTTTTTTTTTTCCCTTGTGGCCCTGCTGGGGGCTAGGCGTCCAGCTGATTTCAGGGTTCAGTTAAGAATCATGTGCTTGTTACTCAGACATCAACTGATTCTTGTTCAGCTACTCAAGCTAATGAGGGAATCAGTGGAGTTGTCCTCTGCCTCTTCACAGCACCCATCGTCGTGAGGTGTAGGTCAAGGTTGCAGCGTTCTGAATAAGTGACAATCGCTGCTCCTCTCTTGCGAATAGCCGAGCCAGTTGAGACGGGGGTAGGGAGAGCGGTGGTCTGATAACTGCATCTCCTTTATAACTATTGTTTCATTGCGGTAACCTCCCAGACATTCATTAATTTACCTTCACAGTGCTCTTGGGAGGTCGGCAAGAATTGTCACCTCCATTTTACAAATGTGGAAACTGAGGCATAGAGTCAGATTAAGTGACTTGACTGAGGCCATATAGGGAGACAGTGGCAAAGGAACTCAGATTCTGAGTCCCCATGTGACACCTGAACTACATGACCATTCGCTTTCTCTTGGGGTAGAATTGTGGGCAGGGCGCTGGACTCAGGCTCAGTAGACTTGGGTTCAGTTCCCAGCTCTCACACACATTCCCTGTGTGACGGACCGTTGGCAAATCCCTCACTCTGCCCTGTGCCTCCATTCCCCAGGCCTGCCTCACAGGAGTGTTGTGAAGATAAAAACCGTAATGACTGGGGCGCTCGGCCGCACGAGTACCTGGAGAGACTGTTTCTCTGACTTCCCTTTCGATAGCTGAGCGGATGGATTGTCAGTGCTGCTCCTAGCAAAACTGGTGGCGTGCTACCTGTACTGCAGTTCTCAAACTCATCTACAGGAAGCAGTTGAGCAATGAGCATCTCCGTAGTGAGGGATCACCTTCCCCCTCTTCGTAGCCACCTCCTCCAAGCATGTTCCAAATGGCAGGCTTGAAAAAAAGGGGTGGGTGTCTATTTAGGCGTTAGTTAAAAAGAGAACTAGCATCCCCAAGGGGTGTGGATGAGAATTCAGTACGTCTTTCATCGTGTGTTTGTGGCAGCAACTGTCCTCCTTTACCCCCTTAGGTAAAGTGAGTTTGCCTGTAATTTTGTTCGATTGTAATGTAACACTCTTGGCTTCCAACGAGAGAGAGTGTGTGTGTGTGTGTGTGTGTAAGTGCGTGCGCATGTGCTGAGTTTGAAGTTTTTTGTGTTAAGAGTGTATGCGTGTGTTTGGAAGGGGTGTTGGGAGCATATATACATGGTTGCGGGGGTTGGGTCTGCAGATTTTGTGTGTTCAGGGTGTGTGTGCATGTGTTTGAGGGAGTTGGGTGCTTATGCATTTGTGTCGGGGGAGGGGTTAAGTTGGAGGTTGTGTGTGTCAGGTTCATATGCATGTGTTTTGTGGTATTGAGGGAGGATATCAGTTGACTTTCGTTCTCCGTCTAGTTCTCCGGTCTCCCTGCACTGATGTGATTTCTTCCATCTCTCTCTCTCTTTTTAAAACCTTCTACTCTTCAGAAAATTCCCACACGCCCGTGCTTGAAGACTCAGTGACTCAGATGACCCCAGAGGAACACTACAGACGGATGATGTCAGCCCTGAACGAACACAGCACCTTTGAGGAGCAGCAGCAGCAGCGCCTCTACCAGTTGGCCAACAGCATGGCAGTCCCCAGCCACGGTGGTACGGGCTTTCGGGGGGGGGGGGAGGAATGGGCTGGATTTGTAATGTGTTTAATTAAGTCTTTTGTTTCATTAGTTCCCTGTGATCTCTGATACTTTATCTAGCAACTGTGATGGGCTGAAACAACACCTAGTGGTGAGAATGGAGTGGATCTGCTGTGAGCTTTGCTTCTGAGAAGCTTAGACAATTAGCTTGTGATTGCAGCCGATCTATCAGTAGCGAAGGGTCCTCTCCCCTTCCTCCTTTCTCTTTGTCTTAGAGACTGTCAACCCAAATATTCAGAATCCTTGGTGCAAGTCTGACTTGGTCACAAGTGGAGTGAATTTAGTGGGTCTCTGCCTAGTCTCGTCTCATCACAAGCCCACCCCGCCCTTTGGCATCATCCAGAATGGTTGGCAGGCTTGGCTGAGCAGAGGCTATGGGTTGGGACAAGTGAGGGGGCGTGGTCACTGACGTGCAGTGGCAGTTCTGTGAGAGGATCTAGCGCTGGAGTAGCATGAAGTGTTGCAGGATGTAGTTTAAATGCATTGGCAGTGCTGTGCATGGGAAATTCATACAGCACCTGCCTGCCATGTGTCTGGCTGTAGCTGGTGTTTATGACCCGCCACCTTATGAGGATTCAATTCACCGTGTTTTTAGGAATGAGAAAAGTACCATGCAAATAAGCCCAGGGTGCAATGAAAACTGTTCAGCAGGAGAATGCATAAGCCAGTGGGAAATGCGTGTCTGGGGATAGACAGACAGATTCATCCCTGGTGTGTAACTTCATTGTTCTGTAGATGAATTGGTCCCGCTCTAGCTGAAACCAGATCTGCTGTGGGCAGAGGCTTGGTAAACCTCGGAGCTGAAAGGGAGAAACCTCTTCTGTGCCCAGCATACTCATGTTGTGAGAGTCTCATCAGAGCTTTGCCACAAGAATACCGTAGGCAGCTTCCAGCCACTGCTTTCCTTGCAGCCACAAAACACCAGCAACAAAGCAGGACGTTGGGCTGTCTAATGCTGTGTTGGGTGTTATGGGGAAGCCAAGATTCTTCCTCCTCACTCTTGTTTAATTCAGAGTAGTCTAGGCTTTTGCTACACTGGGGTGTTTTTGCACGGATGGAGAAAACCCGAGTGAGGATGGTGCTGCACCAGCGTAGGAAGTGTTTTGTGCTGGCGTAGACTTAAAGTCGGATAAGCTGCATGTGCGCCAGTCCTTTTTTACACTGGTGCAACTCGTCTACACAAGGGATTTGTACTAGTGCAGCCACATCAGTGCAAAATAAGAAACAACCCAGCCCTTAAAAAGAACCACCAATTATGAACAGGTTTTTGTGTCTCGCTGCTTCTGCTCCATTATCCTGGGGATATTGCGGCTTCTTCGGGAGAGTTTGTGCTCTAGTCCTATGGTTTGTGCTTTAATTAAATAATAAAAATAAAAGTATTTGTCCCTCATAGTGGGGAGCTCGACTCGGAGCCAGTCAAACGGTGTTCGAGGTAACGCGAGCATCACCTGTAGGGGCACTAGTTTGTTAGCAAAGCAGCCAGTGGGAAATTGGGTCATGGTGAGAGAGCCCACACGTGTTTTACAGGCGTCAGTCTGTGTGTACACCTTCCCTTCTCTTGTGCATGTGTGACATGCTGGCCCAGGACTGGCTGTAGCCAAAACAAAGCCATTAATTGTGCATGTGCCCTCTGCCTTTTCTGATGCAAGAGCAGGTGAGTGAGGGGGTGTCCAGGGTGAATCTCTGGGAAAGCGGGGTTGGAGCAGGAGGGATTGTTGGCGAGAGAGATTTGACAACTATCTGAGCACAGAAGGTGAAGGTGTCACTGGGAGATAGAAATTACACGGCACAAGATCCCTTAGTCCATGTCCAGCTCTCTTCCTCTGAACTTCTCTCTACGTAAAGCCTTCAGCTGCCAAACTGTATCTGGCGTGGATTAACCAGAGAAAGAAAGAAAGAGAGAGGGGGGTTGGGGGAGGGAGGGATAAGAGGCAGAGCAGCATCAGCAACGTATCTGGTGAAGACTTGAAGGAGAATCTCCAATCTGGAGTAAATCCCCAGGGCTGCTTGTTAGGTTAATAAAGAGGCTGCCTTCCCCTTCCACTCTCCATTTGATTTGATTTGCTTCTCTGGGTGGCAGGAAGGTGATCCTGTTTAATGTAGAGTTAGGATTTGTTCAGCATCACAGGCACAGCATGCACCTTCCCAGACACGCAATGCGTGTGAGCACAGCACACGCACAACACGCACCTAGGCGCTGTGTAGAGACACACAACACATCTCCACAGAGGCACAATGCGCACAAGCACAGTGCATGCACAGCCCGTGCATAGGCACTAACACACACACACAAACACAACGGTAGACAGAAGCAGCATGCACAGTGAGTGTGCCCTGGCACAATACAGAACTGCACATAGGCATGACATGCACAAGTACAGTATACACAAGGACAATACAGAGGCACAACATACGCTTACACAAAGGTGCAACACACAAGTTGTGCATGCTCGGTATTCACACAAGCACAATAGACAACATATGCTTACACAAAGATGCCACATGCACATGTTGGACACACAACATGCACCTACGCATAAGTACAGTACACACAGCAGACATAATACATGCACAGGCACAACATGGGTACACAGTATGCACACAGGCACAACTCACAAACCATACACAACATATGCATGTGCGCTGGCACGATACATAAGCTCATATGCAACACACACCTATATGCACGTACGCAGGCTCATTACACAGACTCACAACAGGCCAACACATAGGCCCAACTCACTTGGGCACAAATTGGGCACCAGACACGGAAAACATCCCCCACCCCAGGCACAGCACATGCACCAGAACAGCTGATGCCACAGCACTTCTATCTCCAGAGCAGCTCATTGCAGTAAAAAGCCTGACATTTTTTAAAATTATGATTAAACTGTCTCCTCAGCATTTCTGGGAGTGTGTGTGGGGGGGTCCGATTCTGAGGTTTCGGGGTGGGCAGGAGGAGAGGGGGACGCTGCACAGACAGGCTTTCTTGTGTAACGTTGACAAGACAAAACTTCAGTGTGTTTTGGATTAGCGCCACACCACAGGCCTCTGGTTGGGCTATAAATTATTAGTGCCAGGACAAAGCGCAGTTTATCTGCGGGCTCACACGGAGGCACCAATAACGTTAATTATTTAGAAAATGTTAATAATTTAGAAATCTCCCTCTTTTTTTAATTGCTTTTCTTTCCCATTCCCCCTCCCACACGCTGCTGCCTTCCTCCCAGCATCCCGTGTTCTGAATTCAGTCCCTCTCCGTGCCTGGAACCTCTATCCACCAGCGTTGCAGTGTCAATCACTCTGATTTCCCAACTGTCAGAGTGCAGGATTGTAAATAACAGATCCTCCGGGGTGGGGGAGGAGGGGCTAGGCGATGGGGTGGGGGAGACAGGGAGCGACGGGAGGGGAGGAGGAGACGGGAAGGTATACGGGGGAGTTGTTGCGGTCATTCAGGATCAATGCAGCTTCTGGAATTGGCTGCATGCCAGACTTCTAAATTACAGGCACTGTGGCAATAAGGAGTGACCTGGGTTTTTCAGATAATTAATTTATAAACATCGGAGGCGCATGGTCCCTGGCTTGGCGAATTCTGCAGGCTTTTTATGTGATCTGATGGGGCTTGTTGTTTCCCTCTCTCATACATGCCTTTACAGTTTAAAAATATAGATCATTTTAATGTTTGTTCCCTCTCTTCTTTTTTTAATGAGTTTGCATGTACATGAATGCGGCAAGAGGTGCCCTAGGGACCGAAGTCCTGTTTATCCACAGCTCAGGCGGTGGCTATGCAAGGTTTTCCACCCCAACCTGCTCTTCCACCAATGGGTCTCAGCCCTGACTGGGAGGACCCCAGCCCCCCGCTAAGGGAGTTCAGGCAGTTGACGTGTATTGGACACTTGTGTGAGTAACGAAAACATGCCTGGTGACATGCCGTAGGATAGGAAAGAAAATAGAAGGGATAGAACTCGTCATGCTCCAAGCTGTAAGCCAAACACTGCTCAGAGTTAGCAAGAAACTTCCCCTGGGGCAGGTTGTTCCATAACTGCCCACCAGGGGAGTTTCTTGCACCTTCTTCTGATGTAGCGGATAGTGGCCACTGGTTGGAAGCAGGATACTGAGCGAGATGAACCATTGCTTGGCTGATCGTCCAGCAAATTCCTGTGTTCCTCATCATTCGTTTTTGTTAAAAGCACTGGGTGGGGTAGTGGTAAATTTTCATTGTGATGTTGGAACTGGACCAAGACCCAGAGTACTTGTGTCATGCAGGCTGCTTATGCTTAAAATTGTGATTTGGAAGTGAAAGGCTTTCTCTTCCCTTATCCACCACCCCCTGAGCCATGATGCTGCACTTCCATGTGCTCCCCACTTCAACTTCTGGAAATGCAGAGGGAGGCTGGGTGTTTGCTGCTGGGGCAGTGGGGAGAGTGGTCTACCAGGCTCTTCCCCAGCTCTGAGGCAGATATGAGGGGGAACTCTGGTATAGCGCAGCGTGAGGATGCATACCCGTCCCCTGGGTTTTATGCTGGATTTGATGCTCCAGGACCTCCCTCTTCATTTCAGATCTACTCACTGTAGGCAGTGCTGGTGTTGCTATTATTATTATTTGTATTCTCATAGTGCCTAGGACCCCCAGTCACTGACTAGGACCTCACTGTTGTAGGCACTGTACAATGTCTCACGCTGAATCAAATCCGGTGGCGGCAACTCTGCCGGATGATCTTGAGTGGGAGGAGGGAGAGGAAGAGAAAGGGGGAAGCAGACCTATGAGGCTGAACAGTGTTCAGAGATTGGAGCTGGAGAACCTTTCACTGGACGGCATTTGGCCTGGCTGCAGCTTTTTGAAAGCTTTAGGACATGTCCTTGCTGCATCCATTTTCCAGCCTCCTTGCATGGGCGTCAGATATTTAAATAGCTATTGTGTTTCTGGAAAGGTTCTCAGCCTGTGCGGGAGGGGCGTGTATGTGCATCCATACATGTGCAGTGTGTGCACACAGGCACGTGTAGACAGTATGTTTTCATATTTGAATTTGGAAAAAAAATCGTATTCACATATATGACTATATACTATCTAGTCTTCTGGCTAATGCACAGGACTGAGAATAAAGACACGTGAGGGTCTAGCCCCAACTCTGGCACACACATGCCTGGTGACTGTGGGCGAGCCTGTGCCTCAGTTTTCCCATCAGTAAAATGGGGATAGCGTAATCTTAAGCACCTCTGTAGTGCTCTTCAGCCCTGGATCTCAAAGCACTTTGCAAAGGTAGGAAAGAATTATCCCTGTTTTTACAAATGGGGAAACTGAGGCATAGAGGCGAATTGACTTGTCACTCAGCAGTACAAGCACGGTATTAATAATTATGACAGGTTGGTGATGGCTAAGGGGTTAATGCAGGCAAAGCACTATGAGCGTTTCATGGAAGGTGCTGCAGAAGTACAAAGGATGATGATGATTCTAATATATACTCCGACAAACACCCTATTCCTTTATTTAAGTACATTCAATTCGGCTCTGTCTTGGCTTCCTCTGACACAGAGCAGTAGATAGTGGGTGTGAGGAGGGGGTTTCCTGTCTGTGTGTTTTCCAGTGTGTCATGAAGACAATAGCAGAGGTTTCACTGCTGGGCTGGTGCAAGCGTGCAGAGGTAGGGTGCCCCGGAATTGTGTGTAGGCAGTAGATGAGGAGAGGTAAGCCCAACGTGGGGGAAGGAGCACGGCTTGGAGGCGGGGAATCTCCTGATGGTTAACTCTGTGGTGGGGTAGCACTCCAGAAAGAGTCTCTTGCAATGCAGGCGGCTGTCTCATCTGTAACTAATCCCCTTAGCGTTTTCATTGGTCGTCCTGGGCTGCTCTGGTCCCTCTGGTGGATAAATGCATCAAATAGAATAATTAGTAAAGTGTGGCACTTGCACAGCAATGCCCAGCTTGGAATGCTGTACAAACATCAGCTAATTAGTGTGCTGTAATGATCTTGCCGGGGAGGAATTAATACCCCCATTTTACAGGTGGGGGAAACTGAGTCAGAGCAGCTCAGGGCTTGTCTATACGGTCAATGGAACCAAAGCGATTGTAAGTCACACGGTTAGTTATTTTGATGCAAGTCTGTATATAGATGCTTATTTCAGAATCACAGTGCTCTGGGGCTGTGGCTCGGATCCCATCCAGCATTTGCTATGTTCCTGTGCAATGGGGCATTCAGATTCTGAAATAACAGTGCGCACATGCTGCCTTGCACTGAAGTAACTTGAGGTGTGAACTGCAGCCCCCTTAGCTATTCTGGTTTCGTTTCCTGTGTGGACAAGCCTTCAGCGACTTGGGTTAAAGCGGGAGACTGCACTCCGAGTTAGGGTTGAAAGATTCAGGCTCAGTGAGCTCAGTGGGGAGGGGGGCGTTGCAGTGACCCCTGTTCTGCCCTACATGAGGCAATCTCCTCCCTACACCCCCCCCTTAAAAATGAGAATCTCCAGCTGCAAAAGGTGAGTGAAGCAGGAGCTTAGATGGGGCTCTTAGCATGACCCCCTTTCCCCTTCCCACTAAGTAGCCTCTAGTGCACAGCCCTATGCTGTCCAGAAAGGCTGCTGGGGCGGCTAGCTCTACCCTCCCTGCTGTAGCGATTGACTGATTTACTGCCTGACTCATGCCCCACCTCCCTTGAAACCTTTCCATGGAATTCCCCGCGTGTGCCCCAAGGCTGAGCTGCACGAGCCCTCCCAGCGGGGAGCGCGGCCCACGCACTAGCCCGACCAAGGCAGATGTTTCTCATAGTCTGTTTGCAAGTGCCAAACCGCCGCCTCCCTTCAACCCCCCACCCCCACCCCAGCTCTGGGCACTGCTGAGGCTCCAGGTAGGTGAGGGGGAGAGTAAGTGTTGTGCGAGACTTAACAGGACAGCAGGGCTATGCAGGCAGCATGGGCTGGGATATGAATTCCAGCCAGTCAGCGTTGCTGCTGCTGCAGCAGGGGGAGAAAGCAGCGCCATGGTTCTGTTGTTCACAGAGATGCTGTTGGGGGTCAGGGGAGAAGAACCGGATCTTCTGGGCAAGAGGCTATGGGGAGGGTGGGGTGGAGCCTGTGGAGGCAAAACTTTTGCAACCCTGCCCTATGCCCTCTGCCGGGCCAGGAAATGGGCAGGTCTCTTACTGGGTCTCCTGTGTGTGCGCCATCCCTTTTCTGTGGGAGGGGGAGCTGCGTGTGACCCAGCAATGGCTATTAGCCAAGATGGTTAGGGATTCAAGCTTGCAGCCTCCTGCTCTGGATGTCCCTAAACCTTTGACTGCTGGGACTGGAGGACAGAGGCTGGGTCACTCAGAGTGCCCTGTGTTCATTCCCTTCACAGCATCTGGCACTGGCCACATCTGGAAGACAGGATAGATGGACAATTGGTCTGACCCAATATGGCTGTTCTTGTGGGGGGGAGCAGGGTCAGCTGTAGTTCTGATTAGTCCACCAGTTTGGGCCTGTTAGGGCAGCTATGGGCTTTGCCGAACTGGCCAGTGTCACTCTGTGTCCCTAATCTTTGCCCCAGGAAGATTTCCCTCCCCCAGTACAGTGACTCTTGCAACCAGTTCCCTTCCCCCCAGCTGTGGCCCCGGATCCTATGGGTTAATTCTCCTGGGGCTGCAACAACTGGGCTGTGGAGTGTGTCTGACCTCAGCAGGGGACCTGAGGGCACGCACTTCCCGAGTCAGGGAACGGGAGCCAGTTCTCGACATGCTGCACCCACCTGGGTCTCTGCCGACTGGTGCCACTTTAGACAGCCATGGTACGCCCCCGGGGGCAGTTAATGTAGCCATGTGGGGTCAAATCCAGCAGGGCAGCTTGGCTACGGCTCTGAACTCTGAGCCTTATCCCCTCTCCACTGGTGGATTGCAGGTATTGATGCTCATACCCGCTAGGCCCTGCCTGGATTTGCATTGGGCCCCCAGTGGGGTGGCCCTAGGTGTCCAGCGGCTCCAGGCCCCTCAGCAGAGGGTTCACTGCCCCCCGCTCAGGGCCTGTCCCTGCTCAGCCTGAAGTTGCAGGGAAGAGACCCAGGTCCCTGTTCTTTGCCCTCCGCCTCCCATGCGGGGTCCCCCTGGGGAAGCTGAGTGGGGTGCTGGGGAAGCTGGGGACCGCAGCACGGCCTTGGCCAGCTGAGGAGGTGCAGCGCTGGGTGGTCACAGTGGCCCAGGGAGCGAGCCAGGCCCCTGGCAGCAGACGCGGGGCCAGATCTGCCCCCCCCCGCCCTTGCCGGTGGTTCCCCTGCTGCTAGCGCGGGGCCGGGGAGGCAGCGCGGAGAGCGAGCGAGCGAGGGAGCAAACTTTCACCCCGGCCCCGGGCAGGAAGGCTCAGTCCATAAACCCCCCCGCCAGTGACACCATTTCCTCCCGCGGCCGCGGGCAGTGGAGCCAGCTCGCTCCGGGGGAGGGAAGCCCGGGCACAGGCGCGCGATTCAGCCCGCGCTGCAAAGAGACCGAGGCGGCTCCGGTGGCTTCCTGCAGCCCCGAGCTCCCGGCGCACCTGCCCGGCCGCTCGCCTGCAGCCCCCCCCCCGGCGCAGCCTGGCTCTCATTAGCGCGGGGAGGGGCGAGCCGCGGCCGGCGCCAGGGACCGGCGCTGGGGAGAGGCGGCCGGGTAGGCGGCCAGGAGGCTCCGGCGCTGGAGCGCGTGAGGCCCCGGGCGCTGCACGGGGCGGGGAGGCGGCGGCGCCCGGGGGGGAGGCTGGGAGGGGGGCGGCTTTGGCGCTGAGCGGCCGCAGGCTCATGCGGGCTTTTCCCCCCTCCGCAGATCTGCTCCGAGCGCGGCAAGAGGCGGCGGCGCGCAACCCCGGGGCCATGGAGGCGCATCTCCCCTCGGCCAGCAACTCGTCCAGCCAGCGCCGGAAACAGGGGCTCCCCCAGCACCGCGACACGCACTTCCCCGAGAGGTACCGGCGGCGGGGCGGGGTGGGAGGGGCCTACGGGACAGCCCCGCCCCCTTCGCTTTGCTCCACCCCCCGGGGCGGGGCTTGCCAAGCCACCAGGAGACATTGGCTTGTGGGGGTGGGCACTAGAAGGTGGCTGGCCCCCCGCAGCCCGTCTGGCCATGGGGGATTGCCTTGGGGACGGGTGCTGAGTGGTGGGTAGTGGAAGGGGAGGCGGGAAGGTGGCTGCCCCCCGCAATCCGTCTGGCCATGGGGGATTGGCTTGGGGATGGGTGGTGGGTACTGGAAGGGGAGGCGGGAAGGTGGCTGGCTCCCGCGGCCTGTCTGGCCATGGGGGATTGGCTTGACGAGGCCCTTGGTTTTCAGTTTTAATTTTGTTTAAAGCTTCCTGGGAATTTATGGGTGTTTATTGCAAAAAAAATTAAAAAAGGGGGTGGAAGTTGTTGCGGAAAGTGAACTTTTCTGGGTAAATGGGGGGGTGAACATTGGGGGATGGGAGGATGGAAAAAAAGGAACAAATAGCAAAAGTGGACGAGGCCGTAGGAGGCCAGGGGGCTATCTCCACACGCTGTGTCCTCCACCTCTTCCGCTTCCAGGCCTGCTCCAGAAGGAGGGATGGCAACCGGGTTACCTGGGCCATCTCGGTTACTAAGCCGCCATCTCCAAGGAGGGAGCCGGGGCTGGGGAATTCTGGCACTTCTCCTTTTAGGACTCAGACACTGACATACACATCCTGATGTGCATGCGTGTGTAACTTCCACTACGTTGCCATACGTTAACAGACAGCCTCTTGTTTATACTTAGACTAATTTATTATGAACATAAACACATATACCCTAGTGTGTGTGTTGGATTTTTTTTTTAACATAATCAGCATATTCATGTACTTGAAATTCTGTACATGTAAGTTCTAGGGAAGTTTGTTAAAAATGGAATATTATTATTTATTATTTAATAGCTTTTGTAAAACTCAGGATTTTTTTTGCCAAAAATCAGTAAAACCGAAAACAAAGGGACTTGTAGATTGACTAGACATGTATGTGCCAGGTTGGATGTGCGTGTGAGTGCGTGCATGATGTGTGTCATCTGGTCTGTGTGTGGTTGCATTGATGGGTGTGTGTCTTTGGGAAGTATGTGTGTGGAAAGGGGGGATATGTGCATGTGTGACTTTGTGCTTGCATATTTCATACACATACAAAGGTGTCAGTGCATGTGTGGGTGTATGCGCTTGCATGTCAGTGTTTGCACGTTTCTAGGCTCGGATGTGCTTGCTCATTACACGTGTGTGGGTTTATGTGCTCTCATTTGGTGTGTGCAGGTGTGTGGGAATGGGGCTGACGTACACGTGTGCATTTCAGATCCTGGTTTGTGAGTCTCAGGCTGTTGGTAACAGTCTGTCTAAATCCTGCCTTGGAATCAGGAGTTGACGATATCGTGTAACCTGTTCTTTTGGCACAGAACATGCTACGCTGTTTAAATTAGAATTTTATAGCTGCCCCAGGTAATAACAAAAGGGAACTGATGCTCTGGGACAGACGCTGACGAGAGAGAATTTTTTTTTTTTTTTTTTTTTTTTATTACAAGACTTGGAGGTGAGGCTTCTTTGCTCAGACAGTGCTGCTGGAAACCTGGTTTACCCAGATCATTTATCTCACTCTGTGTTCTAAGATGTTCCCTCCGCAATCAAGGAGTTCAGAGAGTAATTAAATTAAAGCCGCCTTTGTTTCTTGCACGGATAGCGGAGAAATGAAGAGGCGGGAGATGGACTGGCTGCCACAAGGGCTGACACCCTCTGGGGGGCCTGGAAAGGGCTGTGGAGGGCTTCACTCTAGGCTTTGCTAATGGTCTTTCTTGATCTCTTATTGAGGGTGAGTGGGAAGGAAACTGGAATAATAATTGGAGTGCGTGTGAGGAGAAGGTGGTTGTTTCAGCTCATAGCCCTGGGGGAATCCTCTGCCTAGTACCTCTCTGTGTGCAGGGGCTGGGCGGTCCTGATAAACCTTTGTCCTACCAGCTGCACTTTGGCTAACCTATCCAGTACAATCCAATATAGTCGATGCGTGCTGTAGACAGACCTGTCAGGAATGCAGAGATAGGCGAGTTTCATTGCAGCCAGTTGGTAGGAAAACTTCTCTGACTACGTGTGGCCTGGAAGGCTGCCAGGCCAGCCGGAGAACTGGCTGAGGAAGCCCTTATGGAAGGGTGGGTGTGTGTGTGTACACGTGCACATTGGAAAGGCAAACTAAAAACGCATGTTAATGGGTATCAAGTCCAGGATTTACCTGGGACTGCCAGGCAGGTGGAGAGAAGATAATGAAGCCCAAGCCAGAGAGTGTTAAATCTTGTATGGAGAAGGTGTAATCCAGCCGGCAGAGCAGGGGACTGCAAGTTAGGGCATCTGTGTGCTTTTTGCCAGTGATGGAGGGAGAGGGGTCTAGTAGTTAGATCCGGATCTAAGGAGTCAAGACTCTTTCCTGGGTTCTACTCCCAGCTATGGAAAGGAGTGTGGACTAATCATTATATTGGAGACTGGGAGTTAGGACTCCCGGGTTCTATTCCTGGCTCTGACACTAACCCTTTCTGTGAACTTGGCCAAGTCACTTACCCTTTTTGTGCCTCAGTTTCCCTATCTGTAAGATGATGCCAATGCTCATTTGTAAAACAGGGTATGTTTGTTTACTGTTTGTGAAGGTCCTCAGGTGAAAGGCGCGAATAGTTGAGAGTCTTATTGCATGGAGTAAGAATTTCTGGGCCCACCTACAACCCACTATTTATTGGCATAAAGGTGCTGTAGATACTGAGACCACCACTTGTCTGAATTGATGGGTATAAAAGTGAAAGGCTATATTCTTCCCTGGCCTATACACTCAGAAGCCTTGTTTACTTCAGTAGACTTGCCTAGCGAGTAAGTCAGGGCAGTCCTTTATGCTGGATCTGTGTGCAGAAGCTGCCCCCAAGTGCCTGGGTAGGGTAGCTACCCTAGGAACTTTTGGATGTTTTGTGTGAAAAGTTTACACTGTTGGCCTAGCTGGACCTGGGCAGGTTTTCTATGCCCCTTTCCTTGTGAGCAAGGCACAGCTGACCCGACAGATTAATTGTATGCAGCCTTCTGGTCCTGTGAAGAGAGTGCGAGAAGGTTACATTTATGTGTGTTCTACCTGTTCCTTTGGCAAAGTTCTCAGGTGTGATAATCCTTTGTCAGCTGAGCTAAGGGATAATTGCAGGGGTCCTGCTGGGAGGAGGCAGCTTCAGCTATGCCCTGTGGTCAGGGCTTGTCAAGTCTGCTTGACATTGGTTCCCATGATCGTTATTTGTCCCCAGAGATCCTTAACCACTCAAGTGTTACTTGGGGTCATCTGCATCACGCTGCCCCCACTCATAAGGGCCGTGTTTTGTGCTGCTTTATCATTGCACGGAGGAGGGCATTAGGCATGCCTGTAGAAGACAAGGCCACAGATTGCAGAGACAAAGCACTTGGAGGGTTAATCTCTCCTCCTCTCTCTCGCTGTTGGTCTCCCTCTCGCTGTTGGTCTTGGCCTCGGGTTTTGTATTTGACTGCTGTTGTCTCTGTCAATAAGATAAATCAAAGTAGCCTTTGTGCTCCTTTAGCAGGAAGGGTGTGGAAAGTCTAAAAGGCGGCTGGTTCAGGTAGGCAGTGGAGGAGAAGGTGGTGGAATGAGCTGGCTCACACAGAGAAAACTGCAGGTGGATTGATGGTGTCTCTTTTCCTGGGCGCAGAGGTAATAATGCATGATGTGAGGGGATGTGAGCTGCTGGGCATGGTGTTAAAATCCCATTTCAGTTTCCTGTTGGGAGCTTTGTGGGGATCAGGTCAGTTCACAAATATAGTGGATTTGCTGGCAAGAATAATTAGCCACTCAAGAATTCATCTATTAGTTATGGCAAGCGGGAAAAACCCACACCGGCAACCCCGGTTTATTTATCAAGGTGGCACCACATTTTTTGCAGAGGACGAATTTGCATCCGTTGGGCAAAGTTTTTTTTTTTTTTTTTAATTTTCAGGGGTGAATAGGGTTGTGGAACAATTACCATGAGCTGATGAATGCTCAGGAAGATGGATGGGGCTCGGTTTTTGTCCACTGTTTGGATTCATAGTGACTGGTCAGCAGTGGGTCTGGTGGTCTGAGCACAGGACAGGGAGCCAGGTGTCTCGCTGGGAGGCCAAGGGCCACGTTCCCAAAGCGCACGTACATAAGGCATCCGTTTCCAAACGCACAACTCCAAGATGTGCGTGGATCCCAGGAGCGTGGCCTCCGCGGTGAGGGGAGCCACACGGATACCTAGATAAATAGATGCGCACACAGTGCATATGCACTGTTAGAAGATAAAGCCCAATTCTCTCTGTAGCAGGGAGCAAGTTGCTTCACCTCTGACCTACCTAAAACTAACTTACCTTCCAAGGGGGTTTGTGTGTATTTTAAGGATCAAGCTAGAGAGTTTGGAGTCTAGATCCAGACTTTTCCAAGCTCCAGGATGTTTGGTTTCAGACCCAGAATTAAAGGGTGCCCAGATCTGGGAGGTGTGTTTGTAAAGATGGGGTCTCGATTTGTGAAGATTGGTTAGTTGAATGTTACTAAAGGGCTTGGAAAAGTTTGGATCTAGATTCCAAACTCTCTAGCTTGACCCTGCTCCTCCCCCCCCCCCCCCCCCCCGTATAATGCTATGCCCCATGTGAAATGGGAAGGAGGAAGGAGACCACCCTCTCTGGAGATGAGGGATTGGTTTTGGCTCTGTTTTGGATCCACTGAGTTTCCTCGGTGGGTTTCCTTGCTTGTTTTTGCTGGAGAGACATTTGGCTTCCCAGTTTCCTACACGGGGTGCTAGGCCCTCTGGTTTATCCTGTGGCACCTACTGCTAGTCACTAACTACATCCTCATTTGAACAGAAGCGTCTTCATCAGACCAGGCTCTGCATATGCGTGTGTAATAAATGACCCACTAGGTTCCAAGCAGAGCCCGCCAAACCTCAAATCTGAACCAGTC